TCCAATTATGAATAATAATTAGAATTAATGTTTCCCCCCACCCCATATAATTGGAATCTATGTATAAATCATTAATAACTCAGTAGAAAAAAGATGGTTTGTACTATCCTCAAAAACATGTATAGTTATCAGTAATAAACTTACTGTCATCTTGATTCTGTTATCTATCCCACTAACTAGACGTATCTACACTATAATTCTTACTTCAAAATTGCTAAGCTTGACATCGAGTCAAGTGGATAAAAGGACTGCTAAACGCGAACAGACAATTCTACTAAATTCAATCCAGAAAAGGGTAAAATGATTAAATATAAGTAGACTAGAATTTTTCCTCGCATTATATATTATATTCTTAAAATGTTAGTTATATAAGGTTAAAGATAATAAAGCCCGGAAATTAGGTTTATAAATCCACAAAATTCACTCACTGATGTCCGCAGTTGATTATCCTAGTGGGTAAAGTCGTTGGTTGAGTGATCCAAAAATCTTACTTGACCCAATGAGTTCAATACCTGGCCAGAGCAGAACAAAAATTTGGAGAGTTGAGTTATTAAAGGGAATTAACTGAAACTGAGTTATCTAGTAAAAGACACGTGGAACTAGAACAATCTATCCTCGTGAACTAAATAAAGGATTCGGTTTCGAAATTTCAGTGGATATCACCTGAAGTAGGTCGGACCGTACAACTTCCGAGAAGTCGTAAAAACGGCAATAGAGATGAAGACAACCGTCCGAGCAATGTAAATAGTTATAATACCACATCTCAGATATATAGGCCAATCTATTTTTAAACCTAAATGCCAATTTCTTTATTATTGCACTGCTGATGTTCCGTATTTCTTTATTTTTTTTTTAAATTTTCGAACGATTTTTAACAGTTGGTAAAAACTACCGTTGTTGGCCTATGACAGCTCACAGGTTACCATGAGAAAATAAAGATTAATTTCATTATATTTTAGGCAAAAAATATGCATTACTTTTGCAAAATCAAGTTAATTGATCATCAAATTTACTAATTCACTTTGAAACACTTCTCTTGGACAAATATTAGATTTCAAAGAGATTTTTAAATTTGTTGCTTACATTTTTGTCTATAATAACAATTCGATGAGACGATGTGGAAACGTGAAAATGATTTCAAAAAATATTTAAAAACTTTATTCACTTGTTGAAATTTATTCTTCTTTTCATACAGATTAAATTTAAACTATTATCTTTGAAATAAAATCATAAATGTAACTACAAAGAAGACATTTAAATTATTTTAAATTTATTTTTCGCTTTTCTAGAAATTCCTTCGCAGTACCTAGATCATGACATGGAATACTTGTATCAAAAATAATTATAATAAACATCTATAATCTAAAGATATATTCTATTATTCTATACCTACATAGATATTCTGCCATCTACATAGATATACTATTATTATATCTTCGTAGATATATCATTATGGATATTCTAATATCTACTATCTACATATATATTCTAACATCTACTATGTGCATAGACATTCTATCTTCTATCAACTAAATAGATATTCTATCACGTTGTATCTACATATATATCGTATCATCGAGTATCTACATAGACATTATGTCATCTAATATCTGATAGATAATCTATCATCTACTATCTACATAAATATTCTGATATCTTCTATCTACATACACTACAGACAAAAAGTTGGGGATAACCATACATTTATTTAAAAAACACCTTAAAATCAGATATTTTTGCATTTTTTAAAGTAAAAGATAACATTTCATTAACTACGATGCAGTTGCTTTTATTTTTCAGTCTTTTTCCAGGCTCCTCTTATTAAAAAAATTTGGATTCGTCTGTCCACAATACATTTTGCTAAATTATGAATACTTTGTATGAGAAATATTATATTTTGTTTTCCCCATTAAGTCCTGGAGATTTAATTCCGATTAAGGGAATCGTAAAAAAACAAACAATATTACTCGATATTGCAAAGACATGCTATATAATCTGTTTTATGTATAACTGGAAAAATAATTCACTTTTCATCAAGACAACGATCAAAAACACTCTTCTAAATTATGTCAAAATTACCTCGAGTCAAAAAAGGAACAAAATGTTTGAAGTAATTACATTGCCGTCTCCATCTCCTGACCTCTCTCTCATTGAATTTGTATGGGATGAATTGGATAGAAAAGTGCGAAGAGAATACCCAAAGAGTGAGCATGAGCTTTTTTAGTGCTTGAAGAATGCTTGGGAAGTTCTGCTATCTACATTTTTTTTTTCAAAAACTGTTGGAAGCAATGCCAAGAATATGTAAAGCAGTAATTAAGGCAGGTGGGTTTTATACTGATGAAAACAAAGTATGATGCTCTAGTATGATAAATTTTTATAGTTAACTTTTTTTTTTTTTTTGTCAAAATAAAAGAATACACTGCAGTTACTGAAATATTATGTTTTACTTTTTTAAAAAATAAGTAATTTTAAAGTGTTTTTTTAAAGAAATGCGGGGTTTCCCCAAATCTTTTGCCTGTATATGTAGATATATATGTATAGCTCGCCACTCGTATTCGAGTCTATTAGGGCGGCTAACCAATCCCTATTGCAGACGCTTGCTCTGGCGCATCTGTGGTTTATACTGCAACTATGCCTAGTTTCTGGGAAAGAGCGTGTTATCTAGCGTTATCAACAATTTGAACAAGATTATCACACTCAAGCCCTCGACCACGATGACTTGTGACTTTGTGTTAGCACAGCTTTCAATGGTTCCCAAGGGTTCCGTCTACCCAATTTCGCTCACAAGGCTTGGGTCAACCACTGGTATGGTTTTCAGGCACTTTCCATAATGTGCCGCACGCTGGGATCGACCCCTCCAGTTCGATAACATCATTAAGTCTCCTTATTGACAAATCGACCATGGTGATTCGAGCCTGGGCCTCATGGTCATCGATGTTCTGTTTTCTTATATCTTCATAGATATTCTATCATCTACTATCTATATAGATATTCTATTATCTTATATCTGCATAGATATTAGTTTATCCACATTGTTTATCTACCATTTTCTATCTTCATATATTATTTTTAATCTACTATCTACATTGTTATTCTATTATCTACTATCTGCATAGATATACAATCGTCGATATACAATTATCTGTTATTTACATAGATATTCTATCATCTACTATCAATATAGATATTTTATCATCTAACATCCACATAGATATTATTTTATATACTATCTACATTGGTTAGCTTCTATCTACTATTCTACCATGTAATATATACATCGATATTCTTTTATCTACATAGGTATTCTATCTTCACAGATATTCAACTTTAGAGTAGTCGGTGAGATGAGCTTACTAATAACTATTTTACGACAAGATATCGAGTTTATATCTATGTAAGCATTTATCCCTACTTCTTTTCATTAAGCTTTCAGTTGTAAATGTACTACTGTCTTTCTAAAAGCCTATAAAAGGCTTAAATATAAATGTTGGTAAAAGACGTATAATCTATTAATGACTGCGATTTAAAAAATGTCTCTAAGACTGACTCTCTCGTCAATTAGCTCAGACAGTGACAAGTCGTGCCCAATTGTGATGAAGAAAATGTGTAGCCTATTTTAAAGGAGAAGGCGTGGCATAAATTCTTAATGATAGCCTTTACCTAAGTGAAAGCCGCCACTGATTTCCACTTGGTGAAAAGAAAAGTATAGTTGCTTACTGAAAATAAAAAGTATTTACATACAACGGAACAGAATATGATGTGCGTATTAACACTAAGTGACTTTTAAGATGAAAAAAATAATACCTTGTCAATGAACCGTATCAAATAGATCAACAGTAAACTATGATAAATAAATAATAGTACATTATCATAAATATCCTTGTCACACAATGTTTATTTGAATTATTATAACTTCCTGTTGCACTTAAATGTGAGGGTAAAAAAATCTTTGTTGTCTGTAAAGGTCAGATTTCTTCTAGAATATACTTTTGAAATATCAAAATAAGAGTACATATTGTAAAGTAGATTATTTGCATGAATTATATATATAAGCAGTATTTGTGGCCTATATATAGATAGGTCACACCCTAAAATAAATTTAAAATATGTCTGGAAAATAAAATTGAGAAAAATTTCATAGAGCCAGTTCCTAATTCTACTGAGAGAGATTCTTATACCTCAAGCCGTGCAAGCGGTAAACTGATTTTTAGAATTAGAAGAAAAATATATTTATATATACGAGGGAACGGGTTTGGGGTATAGTGCTAAATGCTCTCAAAATCAAGCAAATCATCAGATTATTCATAGTTTCTAAAAGGGTTTATTGGTCGGACTGAGAACTTTTCAGCAAACACTTCTAGATAGATTTTTTACTAAGCTTAACCAATAAGAGGCACAAGAGCCCAACAAAGTTACGAAAGGATGTTGACCATGTTCACCATAGTCTATGAATATAGAATACAGCGCAGTACGTACTCTGTTCAATGAAACAACGTTAAAGATTAATACTCTCGAGTCAGATATTTTACTGAATCTGACTATATCGCCAATACCTCCAGCAGCTGTTCCGTAATTCTTCAGTCTTCGATATCAAAGGCTGGCAGTGAATATTCTGGAAAAACACGACCGCCATTATACATGTCGCATTGGATATTTTGAGCCTTCTGATTGGTTAACCCTTCTATTGGTGAACTATAAAATGAGTCAGCTCATTTTGGCTGGCTCACTAATACACCAGGGTACCCAAAAATTCCAACAAAGGATGCTATTGCATGAGCTGCATTCTATGATGAGATGTGGGAAAGATAACGGTTAACCTTAGAATTTAAGAGGTTAAGATTCTAGTGTTCGGGAAAGCATCTCCTCGAGAGTCAGTTCCACAAAAGAGTGGATTTGGGGGAAGAAGCTGTCCGAGGAAAACTTTCTGAAATACGAAATCAATGGCAATGGTTCATCCCAGTGTACATAAGATGGGGGCTTTTATCTGTGATGGTTAGAACTTAGATAGATAGATAGATAGATAGATAGATAGATAGATAGATAGATAGATATACTTGCATGGTGATTGCTACATGACTTACGTCTCTTTTCGGCGTCCATGGCCCCTAAGATGACTCTCGAGACTAGCATTTGATTTCATAGTTATCATGCATATAGGACAGATAAGCTCGGTGTCCTTGACTGTGTTAAATAAATCTGCATGACCTCTAACTCTCCCATGTACCACCATGTGTCTTCTCAGTCCAGATAACGATCTGCAAACCTTGTTGCAAACAATACAAGTATTACCGACAGGTTAACATACATGCATATATATATAGATAAAAACAAAAAGATGCGAATTGGTATCATTTTCATTTATTTTTAGATCATCAATCGAATTAGTGTCTCAGATATTCTCGTCGGCTTTTATAAAGATCTTTCAAAAACATTCGACCAACAATACTTTACTCTAATTAGAAAGGACTCCAAAGTCCACACGCACGGCCTGGGAGTTTATGTCACCTGCTGACTAGGGAACTCTCTCTTGAATCTCCAGACCATTCGTATGTGTCTCCGTCTATCTCTTCTTAATTCAGTCTGCTAGATTTTCTTTTTCTACCGATCCCCTTCCTCTCATGACTGTTGCGTGCTACATATTATTTTCGATAATATTGACAAGGCCATCTGCAAATATATCCGTGTTCGGTAACTGTTACGGGACCTTACCCATAATAACATAATGGACTATTCCATACGTAATAAATACTGCACCTCAAGAGGAAGCAGGGAGTTCAGCCTGAAGTCTGGAGTGAGGTCCGTCAAGAGTCTGTCAGTCAGTCAGAGCGAGCGAGTCAATCAGTCGAGTCAGGGGCAGTCTGAAATAGAGTCGCGTTCAGACAATTACTACTAAACCTGATTGTTCGTACTAACACTTTCTACTTCTCTGTATATATTCCTGTTTGTAATATATCTGTGTTATTCCATATCCGTGTTCGAATTCTTCTTTATTGGTTCTACTTTGGACTATCACCGTGGTACAAGGAACCGGACCATAACAGTAACTTCAATGCCTAACATACCAGATGGCCTAAACACTCTATTACTGACCTCGCTGGCATCCAAACACTTAACTTTTCTATCACTCAATCCCTCACGCAAGTGTTTGACTTTCCTATGCATTTCCCCAGTAACCCTGACGGAAACGCTTCTCTTCCCGATCTCTGTTTTACCTCTATGCCTGACACGCTACGCAGCTCTGCCTTCTTGGTAACTCTGATCATGCGGTAGTGTCTGTAAAAATCTCTTTGCGCTTCCTTACCAGCCAAGAACCCCCTACTAACAGAATATCTTTCTGTTATCAACGAACGAACTGGGACTCGTTCCGAGATTTCCTTCGTGACGTCCCTTGGAATGTATTTTTTAATCACCCCGTTCAAAAATGCACATCTGAGGTCTCCACCTGAGTAAAAGCCGGTATCGATGCTTTCATTCCAGCAATAAAATACCTAGTTAAACTGCGTTCATCTCCTTGGTTCTCACCTGCTTGCTCAGTCGCTATAGCCCACAGTAATCATTTCTTTCATCTGTACCAGATGTCCATGTCTTATTGTCACTGCTCGTAACGAGTACAAGTGTGTGCTCCATGAAGTAAAGTTACTGTTTGCTGATAGAATGAAACATTGTCTAGCATCTCGCAACTTTGCTTCTAGAGATTATTGACAGCCCTGCAAGAGTGTTCTAAACAACAGAAAATCCTCAATCCCTCCTCTATTCAATCAATTTGAAGTCCTAACAATTACAGCAGATAAGGACGAATGCTTTGCTCAAAGATTGTCATCCAACTCAACTCTCGACTCCTCCGGTGTATCCACACCCGACTTCTCCCTAGAACTGAGTGGTATGTGCATAACTCCGTCGTTGGTCTCGGATATCATTTCTAAACTAGACTTCCATAAGGCAAGTGGAGGCGACGGGATACGAGCCATCGTCATAAAGAAATGTGCTCTTGAGCTAGCTCCATTTCTCTCTAAACTATACAACTATTGTCTCGTTGTTTCCTGTTTTCCAGCCTGAAAGTCCTTCTCTGTCGTCCCTGTTTTTAAGAACTCTGAAGAAACTTCCGATCCCTCTAACTACCACCCTATCAGTCTCCTACAACTTTTCAGCAAAGTCTTCGGGGCTTTAATCAATGCCGAAGTGGTTAAGCATCTTACTTCTAACTATCTACTCTCTGGCAAACAATGTGGATTCCGTTTTGCCCGGTCTACCGCTGATGTGCTTACAGACATAACTGAATATGTATACCAACCTCTTGATAATAACGGCGAAGCCCGACCTGTGACTCTAGATATCTCGAAAGCAATGCTGGTCTTCTACGTAAGCTTCAGGGTTACGGTATTCCAAGACGATAATTTGGTTTAATCCAATCATTCTTATCAAATCGTGAAATGAAGATCGTTCTGAACGGGTTCTCTTCCAATCCCTCATAGAAACGCAGGAGTTCCCCAAGACTCTATCCTGGGTCCTACACTGTTTTTTATCTTCGTCAATGATCTTTCTGATGTCATCAGTTCTCAAGTGGGCATCTATGCAGACAACATTTACTCCTATCTCAATAGTAAATCCGACAGCACTGACAAAGTTAACCTGGACGCTGCTCTTAAAAAGGATCTTCAATCAGTAGTTAACTGGGAAACTGGGACAGCAAATGGCTTGTAAATTTTAATGCCTCCAAAACTAAACTGCTTTCATTTAACCGCCACAGAGTAAACTTCCCCGTCCCCCATCAGCATGGTTGATGTTCGACTCCGTGAGTGTGTCTCACTGCACCTTCTTAGTCTCATGTTTTCCAATGACTTGAGGTGGAACAACTACATTGAATCAATACCTGCATCTATTGCAAGAAAAGTCGGTTCACTGTATCGTGCTAGTAGGTCCATGTTGCACATCTACAAATCTACCATATCTGGTCTTGTGCCCCTGTTGTTCATCTCGAAGTTCTCGACAAAATCCAATGAAGGATCTATAATGTAATCGGTCCTGACTTTACATTTCTACTTCAGTCTCTTTCTCATATACATGATATGGCTTCCCTCTGTCTTTTCTACAACTATTTTTCGTGACAACTGTTCTGACAAGCTATATTCCCTGATGCCCCGACTACAAGAATTTAAGCATGCGACGAGATTGGCATCTTATACTGTTTAGTTAAATGTGAACGCCACTTCTATCTAAGCAGTTACTTTTCTCGCAATTTCCTATAGTGGAATTCCCTTCCTCTTGCATGCTACCATGATGACTACAATCTTTAAAAATATAAATGCAACGTCAGTCGCCATTTTTATTGCCTTGATCCTCGTTCTTTTATCCTTTCATCAATCCCCACTTTCCCTCTCTCTAATCCCTGCATGTCAGTGGCACTCCTGCCTTGGGATGGATGAAATTATTTATATATATATATATATATATATATATATATATATATATACACACTTTTTCAGTCAATTTGATTATTTTAAGAAGCAAAACGAAGTAAATGTAGAAATATTCTGGTTTGACAAAAATTGACATATATATATATATATATATATATATATATATATATATATGTGTATGTGTGTATATATATATATATATATATATATATATATATATATATATATATATATATATATTAAAAGACGAAGTGATCTGTGTTGTATTTTTCGTTTTTATTGCACCATTCCAGATGTGTTTTGATCAAAAATCGTATTTAGTGATCCACGCAGGGAAGTACCATATATATATATATATATATATATATATATATAAAAGTGAACATAAAGTCAACACTTAGGGCGACAGTCTGTTTCATGCTAGATGCAATCGTCAGGCCAGAGTTATAAGCTCCTGGTTTGCCACCCTTGGCTACAAGTTCGAAGACGTGGGCCTGACGATTGCATCTAGCATGAAACAGACTGTCGCCTCTAAGTGTTGACTTCTATGTTCACTTTTATATCTACACACGCTCTATCTCTGATATTGAGCACTTTATCCCATAAATATAGCACATCTTAAGACTATATTTTTTTTTTTCATATATATATATATATATATATATATATATATATATATATATATGCATATTAAGCTAAATTATGCAGAGTCAAGTCCCTTGACACAAGTTAACCTTGGACTCCATCTTGCATAAACGTTCCCGCTCATTTTAGGTGTTCTTGGCGTGCTTGAAAAGAAAGTGTGTCGAGTGTGGTCGTTTCACCAAACCACAGAGTTTCCATCAGTCACTATGGCCGTGCAATAGATTTTGACAAAGCACAGCATTCCCCATGTACGACAAACACCATATTCTCCATATCTAGTGACATCCCCCCTTTCAAAAATCAAACTTCACTTAGGAACAAGATTTCAAAACGTCAAGGTAATTCAAGACAATGCGACCAGACAACTTCTCGCTATTCCCAAAAAGAATTCCAGAAATGTTTTCATCAATGGAATCGACGCCGGACAAAGTATGTGGCTTGAAAAGGAGATTAAATCTCCGTAGAAGATTAAATGCCAGATTAATCTGTTTTGTATTTATCATTTTATTGCATCATTCCAGATACGTTTTGATCAAACCTCGTATTTTGTGATCCACGCAGGGGAATACCAGTCGTCTAAATCGAATTGAATATCAATAAGGAACCTTTGTTCGAAGAGCAGTTGACCAGTAGTGACTCTGTTATATAATGGGAAAACTAAGAGAAACTTAAGAGAAAATTAAAGTAGGCTTTGCACTCAGTGTCCCACCGAAGCAACGAAAGAGCCATGCGAATCAGAAGGCTGTCATTGAAGCTAACCTCACATTCACCACGTGCAGAATCAAAACTCAAAGATGTCCTTGGCTGCCCTGACATACACAGGAAGTCAACCCAACCTCGGGACAACAGAAGCGCCACTCCCTAGATGGAAAAGGGAGGGTCCCTCCACATATCGCAAGAAGAGGATCGATGTCAGAAAAAGGTGCCCCAAACCACAC